GTGTCTGTCTTGTTGTGTCACAGTTTTTTTGATTATGTTCAATTGTCTTATGTTTTATGTTCGGTGTTTATTTATGTACAGCACTTTGTTTCAGCTGTGATTGTTTTTAAAGCGCAGTATAAAATTGCTGACTAACGTCGGCTCAGGCCACGGAATCTGAACTGACAAACAAACATGACAACTGAAAAACTATACCTTGCCTGTGTGTGTTTTGTCAGACGAGGTAAAGCATATTTGAAAGCCAAATTTTCAGACTAGCGCAAGACACAGCGCACTCACGACAAGTCATTGTTGTAGCGAACATGACAGCTAACAGCTAAACTATTCTTCAAAATGGGGCCAATGATGGGGAATATCGCACTCCTGCGCATCTGTCGCGTCCTCGCCTTTAATGCTCCCTTCGCCGTCATGACGCTGCTGTCCCCAAGATCTCAATGAATCAAAATCTCAACATCATGTCATCATTGGGAAAAAAATAAGAAGCCTATTTTCATACACCAAGGAGGAATAAGTCCAGATAAACGTTATCAAATGTGGTGTCGGGGAAATAAACACACGATGCGGTAGCTGTGGGAGTCAGGAATCAACGCATATATCTTTACAGGTGACATTTTATCTCATGTACAAGGGCGGCAATCACCCTTGAGGTAGGTGGCAATCACCTTTCAGGCAGGTGATAAAAAAACGGTTCGTACCAGTCCTATGCCAGTAGTTTATCCTGACCTCGTCTAACCGAGCCCAAGTGAAGAATTAGTTCCTTCTCTAATATACCGTATTTTCCGCACTATAAGGCGCTTCGGAGTATAAGGCGCACCTTCAATCAAGGTTCAAGGTTCAAGGTTCAACTTTATTGTCAAATATGCATACATTGACATGTAGCATGGATGAAATTTATTTCTCTCAATCCTCAGCAAACAGTGAAAGACAATGTAGTCTAAAACAGGATAAACATATAGACGATATATACAATAAAAGACGATATATACAATAAAAGCAGCATAAAACAATGGCACTTGAGGCTATTGAGGATAAAAGTGACGTAGTGCATTGTGCTGTCGGGGAAATAAACACACGATGCGGTAGCTGTGGGAGTCAGGAATCAACGCATATATCTTTACAGGTGACATTTTATCTCATGTACAAGGGCGGCAATCACCCTTGAGGTAGGCGGCAATCACCTTTCAGGCAGGTGATAAAAAAACGGTTCGTACCAGTCCTATGCCAGTGGTTTAGGGCTAACCTCGTCTAACCGAGCCCAAGAAAAGAATTAGTTCCTTCTCAAATATACCGTATTTTCCTCACTATAAGGCGCTTCGGAGTATAAGGCGCACCTTCAATCAAGGTTCAAGGTTCAAGGTTCAACTTTATTGTCAAATATGCATACATTGACATGTAGCATGGATGAAATTTATTTCTCTCAATCCTCAGCAAACAGTGAAAGACAATGTAGTCTAAAACAGTATAAACATATAGACGATATATACAATAAAAGACGATATATACAATAAAAGCAGCATAAAACAATGGCACTTGAGGCTATTGAGGATAAAAGTGACGTAGTGCATTGTGCAATGTGCAATATGCAGATGACGGATAATGAGGGGAGGGTCATAGTCTGTGACAGGAGGCAGGGGTCGGGCAGAGGCAGAGGGTGGGGAGTTTGGGCAGAGCACGGAGGGAGTTGAGTCTCCTGACCGCCTGGTGGAAGAAACTGTCTTTGAGCCTGCTGGTTCTGGCACGGAGACTTTGCAATCTCCTTCCCGACGGCAGCAGGCTGAAGAGGCTGTGGGATGGGTGTGTGGGGTCGCCTGCGATCCGGATGGCATGGCGGGTCAGCCGGGAGTAGTAAATGTCCACGAGTGGGGGCAGAGAGACACCAATGATCTTCTCAGCTGTTCTCACGGTGCGCTGCAAGGTCTTTTGGCAGGACACAGTGCAAGCACCATACCACACAGTGATACAGCTGGACAGGATGCTCTCAATGGTGCCTGTATAAAATGTCTGCATGATGGGGGGCGGGGCTCTTGCTCTCCTCAGTTTGCGGAGGAAGTACAGGCGCTGGTTGGCTTTTTTGGCCAGTGATGCGGTATTGTGGCTCCAGGACAGGTCTTCAGAGATGTGCACTCCCAGGAACTTGGTCAAGCTTCATCAAACAACCGGACAACCCAATGTCCAGCATGTATTTTACTTCCCGAAGAGACTAGATGTAAATACCACGAAATGAAACCTGAGATGGCGCCCAAATGTCTTTCTTATACTGTACAACAGAAACAAAAGGAATCCACCTTTCGCGTTCCAAAACTTTTGTCGAGGACTGTCGAAACTGCGTTGCTTCCCACCACTGCTCTTCACATTAACACGCCGGGATCTGCAGCTGATTATCAGTGAACCTGTGGGCCTGCCGGGAGGTTGCGGATGACTCAACGATGCAGGCATGTGTACATTTACAGAACATGACGTGGTCTTTATCCTCAACGCGAGAGAGACTGGATAACGACCAACCATCTTATTCTTTTTTTTTTCTTTTTCATCATTCGTTCCTCATTCCGCTACGAGACAAGGTTACGAGGGGAAGGGCTGGGGGGTTGATGGACGCTGGCCGGGTTCCCGACCTGAGCCCGATATGGTCATGTATTCTGTGGAAGAGCCCGAATCGATGGCCGATGCATACTCGCTGGATCAGGCCCTGCCAACTGCGAAACAGCGCTTTGGATATTTTTAACTGTGGTCCTAAAACATAAAATAAACACTGGTTGACAAGTCCAAACGCAGCGGTTGAGCAATCAAAGCGGCCGATTCTACGACTCTGAGAACTTTAGGA